AAATGGGAATCAGCTATATAGACAGAGGCTAGCTGGGACATCCCCAAGAACTAATATGGGAACATCATTGGAAAACATGGTGATTTAATTAATGGGTTTTAATGGAAAATCATAGGAAAACCATAGGAAAATGGTGATTTAATGATGGTTTATGGTGGTTTAATGGTGATTTAATACTGATTTAATGGGAAAATCAACTCTAAATTTCCAAATGGTAGATGTTCCCATTGCCATGTTTGATTGCCAGAGGGTATGCATTCCCCCAAATTTCCATGAGGTCAGGGTATGCTGGTCAATGTTGGACAGTAAGTGAATGATTACCATGTGGTGCCCCCCAATGGCATGTCTGTTGATTTATAACCCCATCAACTAGTTCGATATATATATATACATAATATATATATATACATAATATATATATATACATAATATATATATACATAATATATATATACACATAATATATATATACATAATATATATATACATAATATATATATATACACATAATGTATATATACATAATATATATATATACATAATACATAATAATAATAATATATATATATATATATATACATATATAAATATATACACATAATATATATATATACATATATATACATAATATATATATATATGTATATATATACATATATATATATACATAATATATATATATATACATAATATATATACATAATATATATATACATAATATATAAACATAATATATATATATACACATAATATATATATACATAATATATATATATACATAATATATATATATATATCCAGCCTAACCCCAGTGACATAATATTAAACATATTCGTTATACAGTTATACACCAACTTCCCTGACAAACTGGGACACCACCTTGTAATGCTTGGTAGTCGTTAGGATAGTCGAAACAGGATGATCCTGGAAATGAGTCTTCAGACTTTCTGGATCCCAGAGCATGCTTGAAACTAGCACACATCATGTGGAAATGTCAATGATATTCATTGATATTTATAGATATCATTGTGGAAAAAAGCTTATGGATGTATAACAAATGAACAAACTGGCAATTGATCAGGTCCGGCAATAGAAATCAATTTTTCAATCAACCATTTGTTTCGATGGCTTCCAGCTGTGGTTTCTCCACACTATGAAAGCTGGCGATTTATAAAATCCACGTCTCCACATCCTTGGCCGCCACACCCATCGATTTGCTGGATCCCCTGCACTTCACCACCCTCAGAGAGACACCAGAAATGCCACCAGAAATTGTGGGGCGGATTAAACCATGGATTTCCCCATAAAATGTGGGGCTTTCCTGTAATTTTTCCCTTAAACCAATCCATTGACCATCTTTGTTGCAATCTACCTGTTGGTGAATGCCTCCTGAAATCGAACATGACAAAGCCTGGATATCTGACTTTTAAAGAGTGGCATAAGGTCCGTTTTAACCAATCCGGAAAAAACATATTCATCATCTCAACCAATCTAAGTCTGGTTGAAAAACAATGAACAACAATAAGTATATGGAGCCTCCAACCAGAAACCATATTTGTCCATACTCCTTCAAAATCAACCGAGTGTCTTGAGAAATTTGGGTCTGAGTCTATGCCTCCATTCGTTGACGGTCAATTTGTTCATGTTCTGAGGTGACCAAAAAATGGTAGTTAAATCCCAACAACATCATCGCATTTTGTTGGGTGCACAACATCCCACCTGGTTTCTCGTTTCAATCACGTTAAATGTTCTTGCAACTGCAACATCTTACTAACTAACATGAATTAACAATCTTTCCAATAGAAACCCACGACGAATGAACGATTTCCCACTAGTAACCATCATAGATAGTAATGAGGTAGCTATAGATTTGCCCAGATGAATCCAACACCATGTTGATGACTCTTCCATAGATGAATCCACCCGTTGAATCCCAAACATTCCAAAACCATGTTGATAGAGGTTCCATAATCCAACCTGAAAAAACATAATTTTGGGAGTAAAGATCGCTGCGCTCCAGAGATAATATCTTGATAACTCTTGCATAGTATATAATATGTTACAATGTTGACCAGGGATTTTCAAGTCTGTTCTTAGCGGAGGTGCCAATTTTAAAAGTAAGTCAATTACCCTCTGGTTATTTAACATAGCCATGGAACATGGTCCATTTATAGATGGTTTACCTATTGAAAATGCTGGTTTTCCATGGGTATGTTAAATTACCAGTTGGGTAAGTTATCAGAATTTTTGGGGCAACCTCCCCAATTCCTAGACAGGATGAGATTTGGTCTCATCCAGGGTTGACAAAAGTGGTCCAGTCATTCTCACCAGCCATGTGGCAGCCAAGTCTGCATAGGCTGCTCGATACGCCTCAGATCAGGACCAAGAGATTCACCCAGCCACTGTGAGATGGGCAAAACTGTGATCCCATACCCCTTGGCATTAAACATCATCATACACATATGTTGAAATTCACTGATAAACAAGGGTTTCTGGCAGTTTCTGTGAATATTTATGGGTAGGAGGACAGGAATGAAGAAATAACCAACAAAACCTGCTCGCATAGCGGGGATAATAAGGTGGGAACATAATGGAAACAACCTGCAAGAACCAAGAGCTTCAGCCAACAAAACCTGTGGGGTTCGTCAACCGTGAATTAGACCCTGCACTGAACCTCTAATCAAACATGTGAATGGAACATATTATTTTGTACAATCATTGAAATGGTTTCAGCCTCCCTGTACCAAACAAACAGTTAGGATCATGCCCCAAAAATCGTGTTGGAAAGAAAACACTTGTATGGGCTGTATGGGTTTAATACATCTTATGGAATAAGCATACGGGTTTAACGACTACCCTATGAACACTCAATTGGGGATAGGATAGAGTAACCAACATTGTTGGAGATATCATAGAGAAATTTAAATAATCAACAATCGTGGGCCGTGGGGACACGGCTGCTAATACAATCATGGGATTCTGATGCTTTTCAGCAGTCTGTCTAGAAGGTAACAACCCACTTGCCAATCATCGGTGAATCGCGTCCATTTGTCCCAGCATATGTGCCATGGTCAAGACATCATATATGGATATATATATATGTAACCCTTAAGTTCGTTCCCAATAACAGAACACAGTACATTTTAGTTCTCAGCCCTATATATATATATATATGTATATATATATATACATACATATATGGGGATATACTGTATGTGGTCTGGTAATCGATCCCATAAACTGGGATTTTTTGTGTATATAAGTGGTATACAAAATCCCTCTTGCTGGGTTGATGAACATCCCCTGGTGGTTTGGCGGGTGCCGAATTTCGAGACAACCACCTACTTGGTTTGGGATCAATCCTCCGCACACATCCCAAGTAATGTAACTTCCCTACCATCTCCCCAACAAACATAGACCCACACGAATCAGCAACGTTTGGAGGTTCATGGGTGTAAGTTTGGGAGAGGATATTCCATTTGAGCCGTGTTCAAAAACCATCTCTCATTCCATAATTACATATAATTACATTGGTTGGTCAATACGGATTCTCAATGATTCTCACACACGTTAGTATAACAGACTATATAATTAGTAAGTAGTGACACATAATATAACATAATATATAGTCATAATATAATATATCTAACATATATAGTCATAAGGTATAACATATTTTGGTTAGAACATAATATATAGTCATCAACAAAAGGTTTTGAACACTGCTTATTTCGTCTTGCATAAACCTCCATCATTGGCACCCAAAAACGCCATTCTGAGTCTGAAGACCTCAAGTGACGACTTCAACATCTCGTTGTCTTTGTCCGAAGCCTCGGAAGTGTCCGTTCAACAAGCCAAATGGAGAATCGAAAATTGAGAGCCTGCAATAATTGTCCGATATGACTGGTTTACAACAACAATTGTTCCCTGCCGGTTCTGTAGTTGAACAATTGGATATTGTTGGTTTATAAGACCTGCTCAATTGCAGAACCAGCTGATATCATCGACATCTTCAAACAGCTTAACAAATGGGTTGGCCTTGCACCTGTGGCAGATTAGATTGTCGCAATCAAACATGGCAACAATCACCATTTGAGTGGGAAAATCATCTGTGGGCAAAATACATCAAAATACAATAATTAAGTCCCAAACTGGACACGGGTTTGTCTGATCGTACCCCATTCCATGCACTGGTTCATAAAACCAGTCAACGACATGAGCCCATTTTGTGGTACTTTCTCCTTCCCATAGGATCCATGTATGCTATATATACCCCCAATGTTAGCATATATACCATACATGGATCCTATGGGCTTACAAAGCGTCATTCTTGGCAAACTTAGCCGAGGTGCAGCCACTTTCGCCTCCAAATCTTTGGTGACCTGATCTCCAGGGCATCAGGACAGCGACTTGTGACGATAGTTCTGCGCTGTCCTATGCAACCCCAAAATCAACATACTGTGGATGGAAGAAATCCTGCACCTTGGATGGTTGAAACCCTATAGATAATGGGATAAACCATCATATCAACTGGTGCAGGATTTCTTCCATCCACAGTAGAAAAGTCAGTTCCGTATCTGAAATAGTTGTAAATTGAAGCTGAGCGAGGGTTTCAGGGGTCACTGTACCCAATGAGTAGAGACAACAATAGCATAAACCAGGATAAAATGGGAAAATCTGATACAATAGGATATAATTAGAAAAGGATGTCATAGGGATCTTTGATGTTTTTTTTTTGATTGGGCAACAAAAAACATATCATGAAGCCTCGATGGGATATAGCTATCCAACTCTGAAGTGAAAAAACCAGGTTTTTCAGCGGACCTAGACCTTAAAATATACATGGGGTAAGTCGAAGAACCAAAATGTTGCTATCCATAGTACAAGTAGATTCTCTATAGTAATCCCCCCAAAACTAGATAAGTATAAGTAATGTTTCATCATTTTAGATTTTAGTAGGATTTGTTCCTATCTTTTTGGGGGGTGCCATAATGTGGAGGTCATAGCCAAGTCACTCCTTGCTTCTTCAAGACTTCTTCCACTTTCCTATCACCCAAGTGCTGCCCCACTGGCGAAGTTCATCATAGTGGTCCAAAGATGGGCGACACCCATGGACCGCAACAAAACATGTGGCAATATGTGGCAATTCTCGGGGATTTCATGATTAAAAAAAAATTAAACATCACCGAAGATCCCAATTTCTCGATTATTTTCTGATTTCCCCCGTTTTGGGCACCAGAAAAACACCACCATCTCCCGCCTGTCCACATGCTGCGCAATGTCTTGATCCTTCATGCCTTGAGTAGCTGCCCCCCACCAGGGCAACTCCCGCGTACCATGGGACCATGGCTTTGACGAATTTCAGTCGCCAGTTTTGGTAGGATTTCATGAATTATTATTTTTTAACAATGATAAACCATAAAACTATATAAAACTATGACTAACCATTGGATTTAGTTGGATTTAGGGGTACACTCTAATATGTTCAGAGATATTTCGGGAAAACAACCAAAAAAACACATGGGGTACTCACCTTTGAGGAGAGAGCTGAGCTGGTTATGGGTCAAAACCCATGGTACCGGGTACCCCAAATAGCTGGTTTTCATGGATTGTTATTCCTCAAAATATGGAAACTAATTGGTGGTTGAGCCCTGGTATACCTACCCCCTGAAAAATGATGGAGTAAGTCAGATTGGAGAAAATCATCCCAACTATTGGGGAACATAAAAAATGTTCCAAACCACCAACCAGGTAATTTCATAGGTTTTGACCCATCCCTGAATGGTGAAAAGACGCTTTCGTCGTAGAAACATGGTGCCCAAACACCATACGCTGGAGATATTGAGATACTCAAGCGTTTCTTCAACTCATCCCGTTCTTCCTTCAACTTCTGGCTTTGATCCTCAGCGGCGAGGACACCAGGAGCTGCACACACCCCGGTACCTACGTGTTCTGAACTTGTATTGGTATTTACGTGGTTTTGTGACTGATCTACATGGTTGGACTTTGGCCGTAGTACCGTATACATAATAGTGTAGTAAGGATTATCTTGAGTTTGATTGAACTTAACTTCAAGGATAGCATTCTAGGAATAATGCATTCTGAATGCATTGATGGCTAAACCTAAGAACCTAAGAACTTAAAAATAATCTAAGATTCCCGCAAAACTCTTGAGCAAATCTGAGGTTCTTAGGTTCTTAGGTCTCTTATCCCGGATTGAAGATTGAAAATTGAAGGCCTGGAAAAGAATTTCTTCAATCCAGAATTTAAGTTTAGTGGGCATATGGATTGAACAAGTTTTTCCCAGGCCTTCAATCTTCAATCTCCAATCTTCAATCCACCTCCACCTCTCTGCAAAGTTTCCATTAAGTAGGGACGAGTGATTCCAAAACCTGAAAAAGGTAGTGAAAGCAGTGTAATTACTACAAAAAAGATCAAGCATGCATCTTTCTTGAAGAAGCAGTTCTAACTGACAAGAGCAGGCTTTACAAACAAATACTTTCATTCAAAGGGTGTAGCATTCCTTAAGCAAAAATAGTATTCCTTTTAATATGTAGCATTCCTTTCCAAAAAAATAACTTTTCTTGAACTTATCGCTCTTCATTTCGATCAGGTAGTTTGCTTTGTTTCTCAAACATGTAAATATGCATTGCTTAATTCAAAACATGAGCACACACCCATTTCATGACGTACTTGGTACAATACTTCTGGAAGGAAGCAATGCGTTGCACAAAAAGTCCCTGCAACATACATGAGCTGCGGACCATATTTGTTACATAACGCAATTGACGGGGTGTTCCTACCTCGTTCTCCAGTCCCGTAACGTTTTTGCCTACCTCGTTCTCGGGGTGTTCCTACCTCGTTTTACAAGCTAAATATACTGTTTTTGACAAACCGGGGTACGTCCGAATACTACTTTCCATATACGCAAATAAGAGCCGTCGCTCACATACAAGGCATCTTTCAATCAAATGCAACATCTCTTGAAATAAAATAAGACTATCTTCAAAAATGTAGCCATTACTTTGAAGAACATGCATGTTTTTCTCTAAGTAACACTATGTTTGATGGAAAACAAGGTGAATTTTTGAAAGAACAAGCTGCACATGTGGCAAAAGTACTGCTACATTGTGCTTCTAGAGTCCGTATGCACTTGTTTTTTGATAGTAATAGTGCTCTTTGTTTAAAGAAAAAACCTCACAAATGCTACCTCTGTGAGATTAAAAGTGCCCCTTCTGAAGAAAAGTGACTTGAAAGAGCACAGAATTACTTCAATAAGAAAGCTCTCTTCGTCTATGCAGTATTCATTGAAAACAGTATCATATTTAGAACAAGACAATGTAGTCTATCATTACTGTTTTTGAAATGTTCCATTGAAAATGGTGATATATTCCTTAAACATTGTGGGGCATCCCTTTATTAACATACAACATTGCTTGGGCAGAACGCCTCAATAGAATTCAATAGATGCATTAGTACTTGGAACATGTTTGAGTTTCAAAAAGAGACCCTGAATGGATGCAGTACTGTGTTTTCTGAAAGAAGTGTAGAAGCGTAGTAGCACTTTTTGCAATATTTCTTTAAGAAGAGTAACATATTGTTGGAAATAGAAGGTGTAGTATTCCTTGGGAAAGGAATCCTTCGAGTACCCATTTTAGAGAATGATTGTGGTATTCCTTTAAAGAAAGTGTTGGTGCAAGTATGTGCAAAGCTTCCTTCACAAGGAAGTGAACCATTTGATTGAAAAAAGCATGCAATAATACTAAAGAAAAGAACACATAGTCATATCTTGAAAACCTAAGTTTTAATTAAAAAGGTAGGTACCAGGGGGCTAGCATATGATTATATATATATGTACATCTCGTGTATCCAAGTTTTTCATAGTCTATGCCATCATGCCACATCATATCATCATTGCATGTGCAAAGTTGATCAAATTTCATGCCACATCGTGAAACTTAAAGGGTCCGGGGTGGTCACTGCTCATGATTTATGGTCTTCATGCCGGTGTTCATGGTCCAAACTAGAATGACATGCAGTGATTATTTGATCCTTCATAGTGTGTGATGTTGCAGTAAAGGAGTCATCCAGGGTGGGGTCTCTAGGGTTCATGGGCGATATATAATTATATAGATGGAGCACTTGGGGGCCCACCTTCTGTGAATTCATGTCCAAACTAGAAGGCAGCAGGGCATGAGTTTTACTCTCAACATCTCTCAACCTGCACCAACCTATTGGGAGAACTTCCCACTTTCTTATCCCTTCTGGGCTAATTGAGCCTTGAAATATACCATCCCATCCCATTATACCGGTTGCTATGGGGGAACAAGTAAAAAAACAAATCCATCAGGCATCACCCACCCAGGTTTCCACATGTTTCCACAAATCATCACAATCCTCACCATCCTCACCGTGATTTCTCAAGGCACATCCAGCGGAAGCTCCAATTTGCCCTGGCGCATGCGAGCTGCGATCTCCTGATCACGAATCATCCGAAGGGCGCCGTCTTCACCAAAAAAAAACGAGTTTTTCACAAAGAGTTTAAGCACCAAAAATGGAGCTTGAATCAACAAGTAAGTAACCCCAGCATTTATTTAATCATTTTTATCAAGCAAAAATGGAAGTTGACCCCAAGTAGTGTGATTTATCTCCAACATTTGATGGTTGATACCTTCTGATATCCAACGTGGGTGGGCTCTAGATCCAGCAGAAAACGTGACTCTTCAAGCCCAAAGGGGAAGAGTCGGGTCGACATTGAGGGCCGTGCCGAAGAAATAAACAAAGTTTCCTTGCTTGGGTTAATTATAAAAAATGTGTATATATATATGTATTATATATATATATGATATATATATACCAATACATATAATTATATATATATATATGTGTAATACGTATATTTGGGGGACGTTGAGGAGGTGGAGGACGTGAGGGACGTGAGGGACGTGGGGTGCCTGGCTGAGCCCTACGGCGATTGTGATATTTTGAGGTTCATGATGGTTCATCATTCTATATAAATATCATACGAATTGTTTAAGCCGGTAAATGTTCAAAACATTTAGAGGTTACGGTTAATAATGTTAATACTATTCGAATCATCTAGATATTGTTTAGATATTGGTTCCATAGCTCACACGAACAGAATAGTTCATGTTTAGGCAAACAAATGCGCCATGTCTTTGTCCTTAGGTTCAACACATGGTCCGAATTGCGCGCAAAAAAAGCAGGCAAAATGGAGTAGCTCCCAAAGTAACTTAAGTAGATAAAGGAATCACAAAATTGCTCCTGCTCAGGATACCCTCTGGTAAACTCACATAGCTATGGGTGTAAAGAAAAAATAATAGATAAATCATCTATAAACATATATTTAAATGGTTTATGTTCCAGTTGGCTATGTTAAATAAAATTACCAGAGGATAATCTGCCCAAGAAATCTGGTGGCCATGAACATCCACGGGGTCTCCTCAAGTTGCAGCATCTGTTCAGGTTGAAGGTCGTGCAACAAGGACACTTTCCTCAGCGGTTTTTGAGGGATCTCCAATTTGGCAGTGTCCAAAATCCGAAATGTCTTCCCTACTGGTTGGTTAAGAACGGAATTCCTACATTGTGATCAAATCAACAGGGGTTTTGAACGCTGCTCAATCTGAATAAACGACTGACTAGGGTATTTGGTTGTATGTCCATCCTAGTACAAGCTCGCTAGCACCAAAACCGACCCAGAGATAGCTGGATTTACCGGTCGTGGGAGAGATTGCAGCATGGATAGATATCGAGAGAATGTGTATCTAATTAAACAAACTCTATAATATATGTATATATATATGCTGCAAGAAAGTTGATCTAAACATTAAAAATGTTAATCTCGAACTTTTTTTAAAACTGTCTGGATACGTCGAGACGCTCTTTTGCTGGAGCACCGCGTCCAAACGTTGCTGCAGTAAACCCCAAAGAGATAGAACAGTAAACATCTACTGAAGTGGTGGGAAATAACCTGCTTTATGTTTTTTTTTTCGGATATTATAACATATAAGTACCACAATATACAATCATATGGCTATATATATAATTATATACATGGAGTATACATATATATATAATATACATATATATATATAATTATATAATTATATATTATATATTATATATAAATAATATATTATATATTATATATATATATGTATACATGATACAAAAATGTAGGGAAACATTCTGGCCGCCGGACCCATCTCTAACGACATTTCATCCAGCATCTCTGCAGCCAACTCGCTGAGCTGCCGTAACCTGACGACGGCCATGGAGACGACGGCCGGTGCTCAATGGACTGAGTTTGGCAACACGTGTGCCATGGTCAAATTATGTCAAGTTGCATGGCTTATCATGGCTTACTAATGCTTACTAGTATGGTTGTCAATAGTTATAGTTAGTAATAACTTACTAATTATAATTGCCAATACATGGTTACATATATGTTATGGTCATCCATGGAATCTCAGGGAATCCACATATATTAAAGCCTTGGCTGGACATGTGGAATTGTCATGGCGCCAGTTGGGTACTGCTTCGTTTTTTTGGTTCTGGAAAGTTTGGAGCTGGTTGGGTGACGACTTTCAGGAAGATCTGGCAGTTTTTGGCTGGTTGTATAATCAATGGTTGGATTTTCTGGATAAAATCAAGAACAAACACAGGAAACCATGGTTTTTACTGCCTAAATCTAGGGGTAAACCCTTAAATCTTCCCATATCTTCCCTAAACAATTCTAGGTGCCTAAGAGTTGCCGAGTATCTCATTCTCACAACTGGATGTCCCCGGGTATACCACTTAAAACCATCACTGTTGGTCAAATACATTTTCTCCATGGTTTCATGCGAGTATCACGGGAAATTCATCGGATAGATGGATAGTAACAAAGCAAACTGATGATTTGATGGTTCCCCTTCGGTGTCATGAATCAAACATGGTGCTGTACCCCATTCCCCATTTAGCTCGATGATAGTTCGATGATTTCCCATTTGAATGCCCACTCAGTTCGGGCATTTCCCAGGCAGCCTTGTTTGAAGCACTGGAGGGTAATGACTTTCTGGGGAACTGAAAACAGTAGCGTGACAATCGCTGAGGTGGATCGCTGTGGGCAATTGTCAATAGGGGCAATGAATGGCAATGACAATGGTGGTCAGTAGAAACTAAAATCAACAGGAATACTTTTTGAACGGTGGATAAATACTCTCAACATATCTCAGCCATCATTTTGCTTGTGGTCATTCTTCATTATGATGTCGCTGACTGTGCCCTCTTTTTGATTTGCCACTTCTCGTCCGAGGTAAGAGAACCTTTAGCATCACCTGCTCTCATACCGCTTGGTTGATGGGGGCCAGATTCATTGCCAGGTATAGTTACACATATCCAACTTCAGGGTCTAGGTACATAATTCTGAAATAGACATTTGAAACATACCCTCTGGTAAACATACAAAAAGCTATTGAACATGGCCATTTAATTCCTTGATTTACCCAGCTATAAAATGGTGATGTTCCATATGTTAGTTCAGAGGGTAAATCCCATTAATCACCATAAAAAGTCTTTCAACCACCATTTTCCTATGGTTTTCCTATGGTTTTCCTATGGTTTTTCCTGTCACAACCCATCATCCCTCGACGAGAAAGGCCTCAGCTTCAGCTTGGTGCGTTCGGACTCCAACTCGCTGACCTCTTTCTCCAACTGCTTGGCCTCGGAGCCAGGCTGCCATGGTTGCCGGTGCCCAACAAAAACAACGCTTTCTTGACGAAAAGCAAACAATAACCAGTGGAAAGAACCAATTTTTTGAACATCGAATATCCTATGTTTTTGTTGTTTAACGTACCTATGGAAGGAAAAAAAACATAGTTCGATGATTTACGTTTGGCTCAGACAAAAAACCTTGTCCATGGCTATGAATTATCAGAGGGTAATGTTTGCACACGTTTTGAAAGTCAATTGGAAAAAAATTGTCATTTTGGGATCGTTTTTCTGTGGATAGATTCTCAAGGCGTTCATCCGAAGGGATGTTTTTTTAGAGGATGAACATCCACAAAGACGAGCTATGAATTGGGGTTCATACGCTGGGTGGTTGCGAAATCCTGCACCACCAAAAGGATGGTTGAAACTGTTGAAACCCTATAAATAATGGGATAGCCCCCAAGATAGCTAAGTTGGTTTATAACTTCAATAACTATGGTTTATGGTACGCAAATAACTATAGTTACTGGGGCTTTTGTTAACCAACTTAGCTATTTTGGGGGCCTCACATTGTATAAATAATGGGATAAACCACCTATCAACCGGTGCAGGATTTCGGAACATCCACAGGGACTGGGGACTGGGAGAAGGACTGCTCGAAGATGGTTGGGATAGGGAGGATAGGATGACCCAGCCACCAGATATGTGTACCGTTGGTGTATATAAAGCCCATAAAACTACCACTGACTGACAGAATATGGCTTAAACATGCTTAAAGTCCATGAGATTTCAGGAAACATCAACGAAAGAGATTCTTTTTTTTGTAGAACTAGTTCCATACATCATGATATATCTCCCCTAAACCCTATAGCTAGAATCAGTTATAAACCAAGTTAGCCATCATAAATTGACTAAAATACCATGTTTCTGTCTTAAATCCAAATGTTCTCGCATGTTTCATGGTTGGAGTCCCATTTTTCCCCGGTGACTTCCGCAGCCCCGGCCCTTGCAAAAAAGTGGCCGCTGCCATGGCTTTCGCTGAGGTCACCTTATCCTGAAGATTACCAGGGCGTCGACATTCCCCGGGAACATCAGCTTTAAAATAACTTAAGATGATTTGACACGAGGCTTTAAACCCATGGTTTAAGGATATAAGGATATAAAATCATATATAGCCATGGCTTTTCCATTAACATAACACCATGGTTAGCTGTACTAATAACGGAAAACCCCATGGTTTCCCGTTCATTGTTCCAAGGATTCACCAGTGGATTCACCAGCTGGCAGGGACCGAGACCTGACGCTGAAGGCTTATGAAATTGACCCTACTATCAAGCATTTTGATTTAAGTCTGGAATAGGTTCATTATATAGGTCCTTTGTATATATATATATGACCCATATATATATATATACTGCTTGCCTCAAACAATATCTTTGCACACGATGTAGAATTGCTGACTTGGCAAGTGCCCCGAAAGAGTGCACTAGCTACAACATCACAAGTTGCAAACCACATGCCTAAGACATTTATCAACAAAGTCCCAACTCGGGTGTGGCGAGTATCCCAAAAGGCTGGTATCAACATGAATGAACCAACACCAAATGTGGCATGAACTGCTGAGCGTTCAAATCAGCAAACACGTTGTGTCAACAGAGTCAACAAAGCTCGCATGTTTTTCCTGATATGGCTATGATTGGCTATGATTGGCTATGATTGGCTATGGATCAAAACCTATAGTACCGGAATTGGGGCCAGATGAACACTCAATTACCAGCTATTTTGGGCTTTGCCAAAAAAACCGTTTGCTTTTGACCCAGTTTGCCATATGGGTATGGATCAATACCTATTAATACCATTTTTAGTGGGATGAACATCCATTTACCAGCTATTTTGATGTTCACCAGGGGTACAAGGTTTTGACACACTGCCATATTTTGGGAAGGAAAACCACTGCAAGTGCCGTCTGCACCTTGAGCTTGAAATCCTTGAGCTTCAGTTGCTCAGGTTTCCTCTGTTCGTCGACATGGCGACGGCTGATGGATTTCCCAGCAGGAATCAAGTGTTTCACATATATAATGTACAATATAATGTACATAACATATAAATGTGATTAATTAACATATTAATTAACTATTACTAAATAATTTTAGATATGTACACTGTATACATACAACCCCCTTGATCCTGCCCCCACATGCAAGTGGTGATAGCAACCATGTACCTATCTTATTCATGTTCATCCGATGCTCATCGAAACATCCGACCGTCACGCTACTGTGAGGATCATTAAATTTTGTTGCACATGTACAGAAAATGTGTATCTGTTTGACAATATTCCAGTTCTAGTTCTGCATAATTACGCAAAAATGTTGGTAATTTGTCTTTGTTTCAAAGCCAACTGCATCCATCTGCTATCCATTGATATACTGATTGGTGATTTCAAGGCAGCACTGAAATATGAGTCACTTTGGATTATCATCCCTGGGTTTTTGTGGTACATAGTATGGAAAATCGTGAATTCTTGAAACCAGCAACCAAATGAGCCATTAAAAATACCCTGGTTAATTGATTGCTATAGGGGATTTTACCTGGTTCACTGGCGACTATGATGGCCCATAGTAGGGAAACCTATCAACCAACTAGTATAATGAGATGGGAAAACGGGATATTTTTAATGGCTCAAATGAATACTCCGCGATGTCCTGTATTGGACCCTGCAGGGTGTTCAACGTTGCCACTGACCAGCTAACCACTTCTATTATGGTTGTATTCATCCCATTTTCATAGGAAGATTCGAACAAGTACTATTTCAATGCATTAAAATCTAAGCCATTGACAATTGAAATAAAATAATCACTATTAAAATCTATTAAATATAGTGAAATATATTATTATTATTATTATAGCCATTAAATCACTATATTTCCCACTATTTTTTTCACCACTATTTTCGTAGGATATCGATGTCTTTTCTATAGAGATCATGCTAAAAAGCCTGCACAGCGCCGAGCAACACATTGGCGATGCTTCGCAGCAAGTCGTTTTCGTAGACAATGCTGGCCGCCTATGAGCGCTGCAGCACACTTGGACCAATGATACTATGATTGGCAAAGCTGGGTCCAAAAATCATTGGAATAACATTGGGACATACCTCATTTGTGAATACTTGTCAAATATCCATTTACCCAGTGAAAATGCTTAAAGCCTTCATTTTGAGCTGTGCGAAAATACGTTCCATATCTTTCCATATATAATTAGTGTAAATCATACAGAGAAACCGTGTTCACTTGCTGTTACTAGTCATTGTGTATGTGTTACATCATTGTGTGTATGACATCATCTGCATTCTCTTGGCATCACCTAATCGCCAAAGAAATGATCTTCGGCTACACGAGTATATCCAGTACATCAACAACTTTAAACCCCCGAAGATCCAACAACACCATCTGTCCATATCTTACCATCAAAAAAAAACTAGTACCAGAGTTAATGTTCTCTGATTTTAAACCGATCGAACATGTTTTTTTTTGGCTTTTCCGAACCACTCCCAAGCTCAAAAAAGTCGACAGGCCTCGGAAAGGTAGTTGGACAAATCGCGCTTGGCTTCGCCCACCTGGGGATTGGCTCAGCCAAGTGGAATCCACATTGGCTTCAGCCGTTCGGTTTATTGGGAAGTCCCTGTAGCAAATGGTTACATCCCTAGAAAATCCCATGTAATCTTTGCTAAGATGATATATTTCCAATAACTGTTGGGTTTATAGTATAGATATATATATGATTAATATATATATATATACTAGCTATGGTTTATAAAAGAACTTACAACTATTGGGGGCAACACCTTGTATAATCTGGCTGAATTACAATAATCAATGACTAATCAATGGATAAGAATGGATATTTTCCATTGGGTATATCTATAGTTGGATGCTTCATATAGAGATATTGCTGATGTATATATCCCTGAGGCTCTGTGGCCTCAAATAAGTAAAAAACGGCAATGTACCTAAAATACAAGGTCATCTCCGTAAAAGCTTAATTTCAAGGTCGTTTGTCGGAATGGGCTATGTTTTGTCGGAAAGTTTGTCGGAAAGGGCAGGTTTTCTGCCATTCTTGCTCTGACAGCGCATTGCGCATGATATTGTGATGTTCAACCAAACATCGCAAAACTATCTCATTATGAATTCATTCGTGCATATGCTTTGTGATAAGGGTACACTATGGGTTGACTTTGTTGATGGATCATCCTGGTGTGTCTCAACCCCCAAATGCTCTCAATTCACCATGATGTCATCCAAATATCTAATATATTGGCAAATACGACACACCAGGATGAAACGTGCAATAGCCTTACACAGGGATGCCCAGAAGCGGGCTCGAAGGGAGGAACCCAGTGTGCCATGTGGCGCTTCTCAGAAGCCAGTTGGACCTTTGAAGAAGTGGGGAGGTTCGCCTACCCCCCACAGCCTTGCAGTGCGGTCGACAATCTTATGTTTTTAAACAGTATGATGGGGGTCACGATTAGTTAAATTATTGGGATTGACTTTAGTTTTGGGGATGAAACGATTCTTGGTGCATCCTGCGTGCTTGGTGTTATGCATATTTGTTTGGAACATGCCACTGCATGCCTGGAACGATAAGGGAACCCATTTAATTCCCTTAATTAACCATTATTGGAATACTCGCCCTATAGATATTAGAATATGATATTACCAGGTGTTATTTTTTATGTTGGGTGCACCATTTTTTTTGAACAAGAGTTCATGGGTTTATGTCCTGCCCATGACCCGCAGACAATTTTTTTTGGTCAGCCCCCTTGCGCGATTGTGCCGGGGCCGTTGTGCTATATACCTTGGTTCAGCTGCGGGGATCATGTCTGGACCACCATCAGCACAACGCCTCATTTTGGAGGACAAACACATTTGAAAACATAAGGGTTATTTTTTAGGGGTGTTCTTAAACCTGACATAGGACATCTCACCATTGGGAACCCTGAAGGACTTTCTCAATAGCTATTTCATGGAGCATGCTGACCGCATTCGGAACGATGCCGACAACACTGTTTTGGTGGTTCCCAAAGATGGGCCTGCATCCGCTGAGATGGTGGTTTGGCCATTTTAACTTGAATTCATTGTGTTGTTTTGTCATATACCATCTCCACAAGATTTTTTTAATATATATATATATTACACCCACTAACTACCCTAAGACCATACAGGAAAGATGACTGGCTGTTTGTAAACCAAACATAATATGACATAAGATTACTTGTTGTTTTCCCCAAGGTCACTTGGGTATGGCCACCTGAGGTGGAAGTTCATTGGCAATTTGCACTCGAATACTTCGCCAGCACTGGTAGCTGCATGGTGCCAACGATGAAGGCTCATCAGGACTGATCATAAATGATATACTCAACAAGAAGGGTTGTACACATACACAAAAGAACTTGCAGGTAGTTCAAGCTATATTCCAAGCATAACATCTTCAAATTAACCACATACAGCTATATATATATGTGTATATATATATGTAAAATTTCCAAGGCAGCCTGTTGATGTCTCTGTTGCAAGTCAGCTGTTGCTGTGCACGCACTGTTTTTTCTGTTGGCACAAGATAGGCTCAAGGCCTATATGTTGATCCAAGATGTTGAACGGATGGACACTGGCACAACTGTGTTGGGACAGGGTGTTGATTCCTAACAGCATATATTTCTATATGAGATATGTAGTTTTTATGGCTTGATACCCAGCCAAGGGATATTGTGTTAGGCTAGAACCTCCAAACCCTATGCCCACACACCTTTTTTTATATATATATATATATTGTCCCATAGCTTTGCCTCGTAGGACTGTCTGATCGTTTTGGCAAAACGCTACGGCATCTTCCAGAAAGTCAAGGGGTATGGCCGAACCTTGAAGGACAGGGACTGAAAACAAATGACACTCGAACTCTTACACTATATGTGTTTGATACCAACATATATTATAATTATTATATATTTAAATTTGAATCAATTTGGATTTCCCTACTAGGATTGGGCTGTGAAGCAGGCTCCCCCTATCAGATGCCTCTTCGTTCATGCCCTCCGGTTGTGTCGCCGTAGCAGCTCATCGAAGTCTTTGAAGATCAAGATGCTGAAGGAATCGATGGAAGTCATCATTTCCGCGTCAGGTGGGGGTGGTGCCAAATTCTTTGTCCCCCGAGCCGAGGGTGATAGGTGTTTGCCATGAATCGATGTCCCGGTGTCTTCATCAGCGCGCCAAGCATGGTCGCTCAAATTTGGGCCCATTTCCAGACCCTAGTACCCAGGGAGCACCACGAACTTGGTCATCCAATCCTGTAGTCCCGGCCACACAGGGCATCAATTCAGTTGTTTTAAGGAGTGTCAGTTCCACAATACAGCAGGTCTATTTTTGAGGTGTCTACTTTTTACAACCCCTGTTGCAGGAGAATCTCCACATGATGGCATCGAAGCAGCTCTGGCGAATGCGTCTTTGCAGGACTTAGTGGGGGACCCAAATTTAAGTTGTTTAGACAACTATTATGTATATATATATATATGTATATTTATCCACCCTGTAGGATGGTGATGAGCAGGATGTATCGACTCCGTCTTCGTGCAGTGCTACACCCCCTTCTGTAGTGAAGGCCAAAGCGGCTCCCATGCGTCGCTACAAAGTGAAGGTCCCTTGCCTGGGGTTGTGAACATATCCCATTTTTATTGCACATGATTTTACAATTTGTAGCCCACCAGTAGTATTCCTTAATTGGAAGATATGTTTAAAGTTAGCATTCTTTTTTTGAAGGGTGGAAATCCAGCCTTGGCATTCAAGGCTCCTCAGGCCCCAAACCCTGATGAGATGGAAACGCAACAGCTTGTTGATGACTTGGAAAAGCTCATGAATGATGACCTTGTGTGTGACGATGCTGCCCCAGAGGTGGCTGTGGATCCCAAGGTGGATGGTTACCGTCGTCAAGCTGCCAAGGACCCAATTGGTAATCTTAAGGGATACGCATTTTATTGATTATTTCCCCACCTGCCAGGTGAGGGTTGTTAGATTTTATCACAGTTGTTCTCCTCCTCCTCCTCTTCCTCCTCCCTCTCCTCCTCGTCCTCCAGCTTCTCCTCCACCACCTCTGCATCCACTCCCATGTTCACTTCCGCCTTGCCAACTCTTCGCCAACGTCCGCGCGCAGTGGGCACTGCTGGACCTCAACTGCCGGCTTCCGATCGTGGGCACCGCTGGACCTCAACCTGGGACCGTCAGAGCTCAGTGGGCACTGCTGGACCTCAACGGCCAGATAGAATGCCAGAAGATATGCCAGATAAAGTGCCAGAATGTTTGCCGGATAGAACGCCAGAAGATTTGCCAGATAGAATGCGAGATAGAATGTCAGAAGAGATGCCAAAAGATATACCAGATAGAATGCCAGAAGATATGCCAGAACATATGCCAGAAAATATGCCAGGTAGAATGCCAGAAGATATGCCAGATAGAATGCAAAGGGAGTGGCTGGTATCTATGTGATCTTCACCGTAATATGTCATGGTGGGGATCACTCGAAGTAAAGTAATTATTGTAAGATAAAAATTGTTTTCCATTTATGACAAAAATATCTGATACCTCTTGTTTCAGATCTATACGTATACCAACCCAAAAAATGCTTATATATGTGCTTAAGGTTCCACATCCCTTTACAGGAGATGCATTGCATGGAAGCTATTCCACCGGAGATGCCCGACAAGACCGACCTTGAAATGACTGAGCTCATGGAGAACCCCCCTGATGCTTACCAGGCACAGCTGGTGGCCGAGAAGGCAAAGAAGATTCAGAATGCAGAGCAGCTCCTGAAGAATGCACAGAGTGATGGGAAGGTGAAGAACAAGTTCTCGAAACCCGGTCGGGGGCGTGGAAAGGGTCGTGGGAGAGGCCGTGCTGTTGACAATTCCGTGGCTGATCCCAAACCTTCTGAACCTGCTGGTGAGAGCAATGGGAATGATCCAATCCCTGAACCAGAAGGGGGAGGTTCCGACTCTGGTGAGCCTGCTGGTGGGGACCCCAACATTGAAGTGGCACCTAAAAAGGGGCGCAACTATCTTACTCAGAGTGAATTGCAAAAGATGTGGTCTGAGAAGGTTGCCGGACATCTTTAGCATCGATGTTTTTCATATATATATATATACCAAGTCATTTTTATTATTCTCGATGGGTGTCGAACAAAAAAAGATTCAACACCAGCGGCATTTTGCTTTATAACGCCTTTGTGTTAAATGAGGCTCCCTTGCTTCGAGCGGCAGCTATTCCTGTGCCTGCTGACTTTGACCCCACCAGCAAGAAGTCCTTCACATTGCCCCCTCCAGATGATAAGAAATGCGGGTCTGTAGGCATTCTGTTACTTGGCTATTTTATATACTTGAACCCACCAGGTAGCATCAAAAGCGTTTTTTTTTGTGACAATATAGGTTTCCCAAGTGATTCAATTGACACTTTCCCTGTAAACAATGACCCATCACCTATCCTGTTGAGTATGTGCTACTGAACTACGAACATGTATATATATATACATACTCCTCAAAAACAATAATATCCCAATCAAACCAGGTTAAGTTTCTAGCCGAGTGTTTTTCCCAGGTGGACGTTGGATCAGATCTACGTCTCAGCTGTGACCAACAAGGAAGCTGATGAGTCCATCCGGGTGAACAAGAAAGGAGGGTCGACGTTGTCAATTCGAAAGAAGGGCTGGGCTGAAAACTTTACCTTAGCCAAGAAACTGGCAGGTTGGTGAATTTGCCAGAGAATGCTGTCACACCCTAGGGGTCCTCCACATGGTTTGTGCACAACAATATTATTATTTGATTGTATAAAATATTAATATACCACAATGGTTCACATATCTTAACCGGGGTGGTGTGACCAGGGTGTCTTCTAGTTTTGCTAGATGAATGTGGCATAGGCTGTGTGTCTACACACAAGACGTGGCCGACTCCCATGCCCCGGAAGCCTGTGAAAAACTGCGAGTAGTATTGGTCAAGGTTCGACAGCTTAATGAACATATTCACGACCAAAATGTGTTGTGGAGCCAAATTAGCATACCATTGTAGTTGTGGCCACCTCGCTCAATATTTTACTTATGTCTTATGTCAGTTTTCTCTTGTGGATGATCTCTGCAATGCGTTCATTCTGCTGATTTAGATACTCCTAGTGACACCTGAGACCCATCCAATCGGATCCCACAGCCTGTCCTGAATCCATTCGCCATCATGGCATTGGGCCTCTCCAAGCGCAAAGCATGTGCACTGCTATTTTGGGGAGCACCAGTCCTGCTGATTCTTCGATGCATCTTATGTTATGTCTGATGGTTGTTTATACTTCACCATTACAGTGGGTCGTCAAGCCATCCATATACATATATATATATATTATCTTACCTATATTATGTATATTATATGTATGTACGCTATACCGAAACCAAGTCTGATCAACTCACCTTCTGGAAACAATTTGATCCCAACCATGTACATCATCGAGTAACTTTACCTTGACATCCGGCTCGGCTTAGGATTCACTTGGTGGATTATTGCTGTCAAGTTTGGGCCGCTGAGCATGGTGATGGTCCTATGCAAGTCCCTTGGGTTGCATCAAGTCGGATGGAGATGGTCCCATAAATATAACGATATATATATATACATATTTATTATTCAAAACTAGTGATACCCTAGCACATTGGTTTACAGATGGGGTCTGTCTTGAAATGTGAAAAATGATTGCCCTCTACTTAATTGTCCTTATGTTATTTTAGGTGTGTGTGTGTGCCGTTTTGCGGAGGCCAGTCCTAAACCCAAAATGAAATGATCCCCTTTCTTACCATTTCAAAGTAAATAATGCTGTGGGTTCAAAATGGTCAAAATGGCCCCATTTCTTCGCCCATGAGGACTTGCAAATGCTGGAGTTGTTTAGCGGGGAGCAGGAGCTGACCCGACAATGCAGACACTTGGCTACACAAACATTCCTTGGATACACCTTTCATCCCAAACAACAGCATGTTTCTGCTGTTTAATTCACAAAGGATGATATTTCACACCGCATGGGATGACAAGTGTTGTTACCAACCCCTGGGAGATAGTTAAACCTTCCTATGAAATGGTTCTTGTAAACTTGCACCAGCTGAGGATTGAATGGCATCGAGTGTCGTGCAATGGATATCAGGAAAGACAAGGTCTTGCATGACTTGACGTCTTCCCGTGGGTTCTGTCTAGCCTTGCTCCGGTTGCTTCGAGTGCAGCCCAATGGAATGATATGGGGCGGCAACCCTTGTGCTAGGCAACCGGGTTTGAGTTTAGCTATGTTGAAAAATACACTGAAGGTGTTAGTCATCATTTAAAGAAATCCAACCCGACCCACAAGCCTATATGGTGGGGACTATGTCTACTTCATGGAAAAGTGGTTTTGGCAGCTTGACTGCTTCACACCCCCAAACCAATGGACCATGATTTATGCATTGGTATTTCCACAATGGGGGATGCTCGAAAATACCTAAAAGGGATTATTTTTGAATATTTTGGAGCATCCTTCATTTTGAGAAATACATTATATAATATATATCTTGAACAAGGGATTTAACCCACATGGTGGTGATTCATTGTTTCATTTTGGTCCCTCCAAGTTAGCAGCGCAAGTTCCTTTTTACATATGGGGTAAAGTAAGTGTAGTTGACTACATCGTTGGGGTGCCCTTGTGTCCTTGGTGAAATCCCAACCACTACGGCCAGTTGGGTTTGGATAAGTGCATCTACGACGAAGCGACGCAGCCGCGAACATGGCATTTTCGGAGATGAAGGGCTGGAAGGGGTGCGGGTTGCTAATTGTTTAGCAGCCCGCTTTGCTCTATTGGCCATGGTGGCCATTGTTAATGGTGTTTGGTGGTCTGTCACTAGTATGAATTGGCATTGGGGTCTGGGTATATAGTTTTTGGTCATCATAAAAAATCGGGGAAACACCAACAACTGATATCGATTTAACAATAATGCTTACCCCAAACACTTTCCCGTCCTTGTATCCTTTCAAAACCACGACCATCAACTGCTTTATCCAAGCCCTAATTTTAGGAAATGTGTTGCAGCTGGGAGTTCATATATTGAAGCTAAGTTGGCATCTAATAAAAAATATCACACCACAACCCCATACCGTTGCTAGTGGCCTCGTGGGTAAAGTTCGAGTCTCCCTGGCAGGGGCCCGGGGGCAACCACCAAAACGAACATGCATGAAAATGATTTTCTAGGAACAACAAAAATGATATCCTATTTTTCGTAATATATTTCTGCTCCATCCCACAAACCCTGTCTGACAATATCATTGTATAACATCCTCAAATATTGGTTATCATGCAAATGGGGTAGATGTTGCTGGGACTTCTTCATACAGGGGCTAGTTGTTCATCTACAGGGGGACTATGCACATGTATCTAGCTACAGTCACCGCGTATATTCTGTGGTTTGACACAGCTGTTTTCCGCTGAAATTCATTCTCACTGAGGTAGAACAGCCATCTTCAAGCTGTCTTCCCGAGTGCCCCTACGTGGCCCACGTCATGACCAACATGGCACCTACGTGGTACTTGCGAACGTGGATGGGGGCATTTAACCACTTCTGTAGTAAACCTACAGCATTGTTTGGATCATGGTGGCTTATCTTATTATTTCGAAGTTTTCATCATAACATTCATTTTAGGGATGTTTAATTCATGTCTAGGTTTTCCCGATGCCATCAGTTGAAGAGAAACTCTGTTTGATCTTTTCCCATAAGGCCATTGCTTGAAGAACTTAAATGCCGGCTTTCACAAGCAGAACAAAAGTCATTGAGGGAGTCATCGGCCGGCATGTATACCAAGAAGAGATTACCGGATGGACGGGTGAGGGTTACTGGAGGAAAAAGGCTGAAAGAAAGTGGAGCTTACACACCAGAGTTTGGAAAGCGCGTCGCTCAACTATTTAAAAAGGGCGCAGTTGCTTGTTGTTCACTATCAGCACCCATTTTGTTTTTCCCAATACTGTCACCTGTACATGCCACACCACTTGGATACCACACCTGGTGCAAACACTTCCGGCAGCTCCACTGTGAGGTTTCAGCATCGCACCTTGCTGCACAGCGACAACGATCTCTGTGGAAACTAGAAGGCCCTAAGGGCTTTGATGCTTGGATGTAATGATACCTTGTTAGTGGTATTTTTTGGGGTGTGTTGACATTAGGCAGGTTAAAGTTCCCAATACTGCAGTTTACTCAAACGTCATTTTCTTTCCCTGTCTTTTAATTGGCAGGGTCCGAGCATGATCATTCTTGGGGAAATTCGATCAAAACTGATTGCCAGTAATGTTAAAAAAAAACTACCCGTGCCGTTGCTCACGCAGCGGATGTGGTTGTTCATAGCCACTGCTACCTGGGCCACATTGTGGCCTTCGTCCATCATGACCCTAGTCTTGTTGTAAGGGTTTTCGGTCGCCATGCCGTTCATGAACTGCGCAACCACGCGGCACGCACATTGTCAGCAAGTGACACTGCCATGCTGCCACATCCGTCCGACAGCACATGACAATTCGAAAGGTTGAGGTCTGATTCCTCATCTTGTCGGCCAAAGCTCCGTACACCGGTAGTAAGACAAAGAGATATATGCATTTAAACACACACACACATTTATATATATATATATATCTTATAATCTATTTATTTGTTGTTGTTTGAATTGATATTTACTATAATGTTATATTTACACAAGACATACGGTATATATAAATATTTACATCTCATGAAAATAATATATCTATATTTGTATGTATATATTGAAATAACAATATTTACATATATATATATATTCAACATCATATATACAATACTTATATGTATATAATATGTGGTGTGTATGTATATATATATAGAAATATATCTATACAAAACACACACACATATATATATATACACATACAATGTTCTTCTGATCTTTAAAACCACATGATTATCAGTTGGCAATGCCTTCCCTTGCTGTTGTCAACACCATTGTGGGATTTTAGAATGATTAGAACTGCTGGCCCATCTTCTGGAGGAACTTGCAGGGGGGGCTTCTTTAAGGGCCACTTGAGAATGAAATTCAATCTTGCAACAAACTACAGGATTATTGATGCTTGTGCTCGTACCATTGGTATACCAGAAAAACTCGAGATATTATATACTAAAGTATTTTACTGAACCAATGCCTAAGCTTGAAATTTATTTTTGGGAGATGGCCCACTGAGTAAGGTATAATCGCATTACTATACCCAACTGTTGGAAAGATGAGTTTAAACTTCACCTATGCCAAACAGTTTATCTACCTGATTAAAAACGGGTCCGGTTCTATATGCACATTACAAACCGAAATTCCACTAACGATAGTCCACCACTGTCCTATGAGGGTATATATTTGGAGATTATACATTTAATTTTCAGGACTTAACGATAAGGGCATCACTTGCACTAACCTTGAGCAATGACACCAATTTTTGATGAGTTTGGGTGGTCTACTTAAAGGGTTGTAGTTTAGGTGACCCATACCTATAGCCGTAGCCGTCTTGTATTTGGCCTCTTATCATCCCATGCTTTGCTGAGGAGCAGCCCTTGGACTGGAAACATGCTGACTTACCAGCTCTTCGGCAGTTCCTTTTGGAGGAGATTGCAGCCAACAGGTTCCATGCCCAACCTGGCCTTCCATTGTAGGTTGCAATGCGATCCTGAAGCGGTTGCAAGGCGGTGTGACACTATAGCTGACCAGCATAGTGCACTTTAATTTCAGCCTTTTGAGGGTGACACAAAAAGACAACTATATGGAATCTTCCATATTGCCAGTTAAAAACAGCTTTTTGGGCTGGACCAAAATTGCTGTCACCGCTAATTAGCAGATTTCGCCGAAAACATGGCAATGCGAACTACGCATAGCCAAAATTAAGATATGCAAGCACATTGCATTGCATACTTGAGACCTTCAAGAACTAGCCTAAATGCTGCCCGTGGCAGGTATCCACAGACCTGGTTTGGAACATGTGGGACACCAGTTTGGAACACAACAATATTACATTGGAAACCCAATTACTAAAACATCCCTGAGTTCTTTTGGTATGAGTTATGTTATTAAAGCGGGGTTCTGTGCAAACATTAACTTTATCAGGCTAATATAGCTCGCCCAACACAGATTAGCACAGCATTTTTTGAAAGAATTCATGTTTTTCTTAACATTTGCACTCATACCCCATCTCTGTTCAATGATATTGTTTCAACATGCAAACAACCTAGCGTATTTTGCAACAAAGTTTGATGATGGTAGACCCTTTGAAGCTCACAAATGACATTTTGAGGGTGTTGACATGCCAGCATGACCTCAGGGTCGATTGGACACACCTGGCGGGACCCTTGTGGGACCTGGTGGGGCCTAGTGGGGGCTCTGGGTGGGCTAGGGAGCAGAGCGTGACGCCGCGTGACTTCGCGTGATTTTCCGTGATTTTTCGTGATTTTTCAATTTCAATTTACTTTTCCCTACTTAAAATTGGGTCGTTTGTCGGAACCGGGTGCCGCCGCGTGATTTTGCGTGATTTTCCGTGACGGACCGTGACAGCTTGGAAATGATCATGATGGGCTATGAACAGTACTTTTTTGGGATGGATGACCCTTGATATTTACAAGTATTGACTTTGAAAATCTTTGAAAAATGATGTTACTGTTAAATCTCAAACCTGTGGTCCGGTTCAATACAGCCACCAACTTTGGGATGCATCAACTCAACCCTTCGAACTTAGGTGACTTGGGATTATACGAAGTTATGTCCCGCATTGGCAAACATGGTTCGTATCCAGAATATAAAGATGTTGTGGTTCTTAGATTCTTCATAGCCCAGCTGTCAGACTGCGGGACATGACATATGCAAGGTCAGCTTCTGATTTGCCCGCATGTTCATGCATTAAAATGACTGTTGTTCATCTTATTGCAGCATTTGTGCTTGGATGGACTCCGGAGCTTGCTTTTAGAGCAATGTCGTTGCCTGATCCAGACCTGGTGAAGGCCAATTTAAGTAGCAGTCAACTAGACGTTTCAGAAGCCGTGATATGCAGTCAAGATTAGGGAACACTTATGTTACTAACTGATCAGAAAGCGTTTCGACATTAAACTTTTTGGCAAGGAATCCCACTAAGTAAGGTTAACTGATGTTATCTCCCAATATTTAATGGTACTGGTTCCCAGCCACCCGTCAAAGTGCCTCTTGATCCATGGGAAATACCTTTGGTCTTGTAGATGCCACCCCTGCAGGCGGCGCAAATGGCCATGCAGAATGGGCAGCGTCGGCTAAAACTCATGCAAGGGGTGGTCAACAACAGTACCGCTAAGCGTGATCGCACCGATGTGACCAAAACACCGTCTACCCAGGTGACCCCCGAGAATGTGAAGAAGGGTGCAACGTCTGATGATTTGCAGCCCCGGGCATTGGATTTTTCAACTACAGGCTTGGGTTTCTATGGAGCATCATGTGAAACAGAACAACTTGGCACCCCGTAAGACTTTATATAACATGGGTATAACATGCGGTTGTTCATACTGTAGTCCTTCCACGCTAGTTAGTAGATTCTTTGGGTACCACCACTATAAGCCAAATGTTTTGGGAACCCATAGGGTTGTTCTAGCACCCGGAGGTTGTGTATAATATATAATATGTTCAGCGATATATATATATATATAATTATGTATATATCGATATACACAACTAGTGTTTTAATATTACACAATATATTTGTATAATATATAATCTAATACTCATATATATATAGTGCCTGTGCGTGTGCATACTATGGCTTACGCTACCTGCCATTCCTGCAAGGTGGTGGCAATCCAGGAGGCGTGTCCTCCAGCTCATCGGGGGAAACTGGTGGGAATAATGCCTTGAAGGCAACAGTGGCTTGACGTGTTTCAGTTTTTTATTTATGGTTTCAATCTGGAAGAAACTTTTGTTTTTGCATCAGTCTAATTTAACGATAGACCTTTGCACCGATCCTGTCCAAAAACTGCAAGGTGGCTACGGCAACTGCTGGTGGCATCAGCATTTCTCAAATGCAAGCCGTAGCAACACCACAGAAGGTGCCTGTCACGACCGACCCACATCCCCAAGCAACCCTAGACGACACACTTGTGGTTGATGATGACAACATGGAAACACCAGAGCCTGTGCATACCAGCAAGTCGCCTGAACAAGCAGCAGAGCATTCCCAGGGTTTTGACAAGACACAGCAAACTCCCAAGACAAGGGCTTACTTGGCTTGCATGCAACGAAAGTCCACTGATGACCTTTCACTGCCGAAGACACCAGAACATCCCACAGCAGAAGCAGCTCCAGTGATTGTCACCCCAGTGGCAGCAAGACCAGCTCACAGCACACCAGCTGTTGTGACCCCAACGCCACCTGTTGTTGCACCTGCACATGTGTTGACTGCAGCACCCGGCACAGCATCAGCAGAAGCACCGCCTGGCAGCACGGCAGTGGCACCAGCTCCCATCGCCCCGGCAGCAACACCAACACCTGTTGTTGCACCCGCACATGTGTTGACTCCAACACCTTTCACAGCATCAGCAGAAGCACCGCCTGGCAGCACTGCAGGGGCACCAGCTCCCATCGCCCCGGCAGCAACACCAACACCTGTTGTTGCACCCGCACATGTGATGACTCCAACACCTGTCACAGCATCAGCAGAAGCACCGCCTGGCAGCACCGCAGTGGCACCAGCTCCCATCGCCCCGGCAGCAGCACCAACACCCGTTGTTGCACCTGCACATGTGTTGACTCCAACACCTGTCACAGCATCAGCAGAAGCACCGCCTGGCAGCACGGCAGTGGCACCAGTTCACACCGCCCCGGCAGCAACACCAACACCTGTTCTTGCACCCGCACATGTGTTGACTCCAACACCTGTCACAGCATCAGCAGAAGCATCGCCTGGCAGCACGGCAGTGGCACCAGCTCACATCGCCCCGGCAGCAACACCAACACCTGTTGTTGCACCCGCACATGTGTTGACTCCAACACCTGCCACAGCATCAGCAGAAGCACCACCTGGCAGCACGGCAGTGGCACCAGCTCCCATCGCCCTGGCAGCAACACAAACACCGTTGGAGCCCGAACCCCAGTCACCTGACCCCCGCTTGCTTCAGTTTTGGTCGAGGTTCAAACGGAGCCCCATGTCCAGGGAGCCTCTGGTACGCCCACTGCCGCCACCCACGTTGAACCTACCAGCTCCAACAGAAGCCTTGTACACAGTACTTGATCCCCTCAACTGGAAACACCTGATTCGATCCAATGTTGGACACCGCTCTGACTGGAGATCATGTTTTGTGGTGGCTGCATACAACCACAACACAATCTTTACATTTGCGAATGAGCGAGGTGAGATTGATGGAACCCCTCAGGTGTCAGATTTCCCACTTGTGGTTTGCAAAGGGGCCTTCCAAACCGAGCCCATTGCAGTTGCAGCCCCCCACCTTGTCCCAGCAGCAGCAGCGACCACACTGGGGATGCCAACCCCTGCACCTCTGGCAATGACCCCACCAGCCATTGTGGATGGGGCAGATCTACCGGCGACAGCAAAAGCAGCATCAGCAGCAGCAGCACCACCAACTGTTGCCTCTGCAGAAGTTGCATCAGCTTCACCGATGCCTCCATCCCCAGCAGTGGTTGGAACACCTGCATCCCACCCTGCACCGCCAGTGACACCAGGGTCGGCATCTGCCACGGCACCACCGCAAGCCCCACCCTTCACACCAGCTGTGGAGCAGCCAACACCACCCCAGCTGCCAGCACCAACACCGCAGCCGTTAGTACCACCCCCACCCCCACACACACCACCTACATCTCGCCTGGCAGAAAATTCCGCAGATGACAGGGCACAGTACATGAAATTTCACAGGAGCGTCCGACATCCCACAGCACCCAAGGAAGTGACCCAGAAGTTCCACGAAGCATCAAAGGACAAAGCAAAGATGAGGGCTTTGTTCCAAGAATTTCAAAGATGCAACGGGGACTGGCTGTCCAGCACCCTTGTGATCCGTGATTCCCAGACTACAACCAACACCCAGGGTGGTAAGGATGGATACCTGTCAAAGGCTGACCCTTAGCTATCTTTTTACAAAACAGGGTTTCAAATGTTGTTTTCAAAATCTGTTGGAGTTTTGGTGGCTTTAGGGCATACCAATATTGTGGGTATGGTGTGCATTGCAGCAAATGTTGACCAACCAAGGACCTTTTGGTCAAGTACCATGGCAATACCCTTTTGGTGGACGAGCTGATCAAGAAGAAGGTTTGGGGTTGTTAAACGCAACTAAAGTAAGTAAATATATTTCATAGATGTGTGTATATTATTTTATTTTGATGATATAATATAAACAATATATGTGGTTTGGGTCTTGTTGGCCCCCCTATGTGGTTTGGGCTTGTTACCCTTCTACCTTTATTCCAAGATATTATGAAGGGGATAACACAGTTATTGCTCTTAGGGGGGTCCCATAGTAAACAGGTAAATTTCCCATTTGGCTAATATATGTTTGCTTCCCCTGAGACCGCCGAGAAGAAGTACATCTCTCATCCGGAGTTTCCAGACAACGAGGAGCCTTCTGGGGCGTGAGTGTAGAATCATGGTTTCTGCCTCTGGTGTCCGGGGAAGTACCATGTTGATAAATAATATATATATATATAAAGTGTTAAATATATATTCTGTGTATATTTATATATATATGCATACGCATATACACATATGTACATATGTATGTGTATTATGTTTACCGTGCCCTAGCATATATGTGCATATATGTATATATATATATTATACATGTTTTTGTGTCATAACATGTGCTCATACATTACCCATATGTTGCCACCAAATCCATCACCTGTGGTTTTCAGGATATGCGGCTGTACAAAACGTGGGTGGAAACGTATGAGAAGAACGAAGAGATCCATGCAGAAGGTGTGGAGACCAGACGTGAGGCTGAAGGTGACTATGATGGCATGGGAAGCACCCCGATCCCTCCTGGAGATAGCCAAGCAGTCCCAAAAGCCAAGCCAAAACCCAAGCCTAAGTCGAGTGCACCAAAGGTCAAGACTGATGAGCAGTTGGCACGTGCAGCCCCCAAGTGTTAAATCACAAAAAAGTTTTTTATTGTGAATATTTGCTATATGTTGCCTGTAGCGTTTGTTTATCCAATCTTGAACTGGTCTGGTACCGACAAGGTTTGTTTACATAATCTGTGCCTCAACTTAGGCTGTGGTAAAGGCAAATGCGAATCTCCTTGAAATTTCGCAGTGGGACTACAAGCTGGCGAACGCCAGTGTGTATCTAATCCAAATTGGTATTTGTCAGGTTTCCTTTAGTGTTAGGGTGATTATGATGTTTTTGACTCATCCTTGATATCTCCATTCTACCCTGAATCCACCCATCCTGAGGCCCAAAGTTGTTCGGGATGCTTACGTGAGCAGCATGGAGACTGAGGGCAAGGAGCTCCGTGATGCAAAGACAGCTGTGGAATTGGCGCTGAGTTTGGGGCAGTCCTTAAAGGAATCCACCGAAAAGTTGGAATCTGCAAATGAAAACTACCGAAAGTCAAGTGGCCAAGTCAAGAAAGCATGTGTGGCGCCGAAGGCGGAAGCAAAGGCAAAAGCATCTGCTTAGATGTTTGCTGTCGCAAGCATGCATGACTAGTGGGAATGTTGTGTCTTTCGTTTTGAATGTTGGGACAGCCCTTGTGGCGCATTGATTTTTCAAAGGTTTGATTTTGACCGCTTGGTGCAATGGCTTGCGACATTTTTGTGTATATCCCCTCGACCATGGGATAGCTTTTGCACAACCTGCTGAAAGTACTTGGCCTGGCCGTTGGTTTCATGAACCTAAGCTCGTGCAGCACCAGCATGACTAGTGAAACATGCATCAGTCTTCATGCATGTGCACTATAGGCGAATTTAGATCGTTTGGTTTCGGGGGTGCTGTTGCGACCCGTTTGTGAAGAGTACCGCATACATTTGGTGTGCAACTGTATACGTAGGTGGGAGGGTACTGATGTCAGTAAACCTGTGTGCCTTCTAAATGCTATACTCCAGACCACTAGGCATTTTTGCTTGATGCAATATGATATAGTTTGATTTTTTGATGAGAAATGTGTTTGTATGTCAGCACGGTCACGGGAATGACATCAGTACGTATACATATTGTTCTCGACGAACACAATCTAGTATGGCACAGGTATGGGACTAACAGTGGGATGGAACAAAAATGCCCGACCACTCTGGTGATCCATCAAAATCAAATTATCCTAAGATCTCTTAATGTCTCTTAATCATGACCACTATCTGTATACACCAAAACTGTATCCATTTCCCAAACGATTATTGCCGCTAAGGGGACCAACATGAAGCATATCTGAGAGGTGTAGGGCCATTTCAAGAAGTAGTGGGTGGTGTTGCCACATCCCAGCCCCTTCGCAGGTATGGGTAGTGGTGCCCCTTGGCTATGGGTAGTTCATTGGGATAATTGGGCAATTGACTACTAGGTAGTATTGTTCACAAAAGATTTTTTCGTTATCTTGATCGGTGTCCCCCACAGGACCCAATACTTAGGACCCAATTCTTCTTATTCTTTCTAACTTCCACGGCCCACCAAGGCCACCTCTTGCGCGGAGCTTCAAAAAGCAGCTCATGCCTCTGTGAAGGAGGCTGAGGCAGGAGTTCCAATTGGTTAAAATCAAAACATTTTATTTTTAAAAGGTGTGACTGAAAATAGCACACCCCAAAACTATAGTAAATAATAACTAGAAGTTATCTATACAATATACATATATATATATATTCTATGGGATATTTATTTTTAGATAGACCACGATAGGCCCATATATCTTAAGTAAGATGTGGCCAATTCCGAATTCCCATTAATTTTGTAACTTGACCCATACAATTTTTATAACATTATTATATTATATATATATATATAGATTATATCTTGATCCCTGCCGCTAGGCCAACAAAGGCGGTCTTAGCAATCTGGCAAGAAAAATAGCTAGCCTCGGCAACTGGGGCACATGGCCACAAAACATTGAAAGAGATCTTACAGTTTTACTTCAGCTGCCAGCGGCGCCCCTTTTCTTGGAGATACCAGTGCGCAGCAATATCAACAGAAAGGATGTTGTTATGGGAAAACTACCTATCATTCCTCCTCATGCATTGTTTCATTACCTGCATGTGTCTTGGTGACTTAAAGATTTAAACAGCACCGTTTTTTTCTCTAGGGGGGAAAGAAGCATACGAACCCTGATTTTCCTATGAGGTTTTGTTCCTAGTTTCATTGAGCTTGTGTCCGTCCACATTCACCCCCAAAGCTGAATCGATTATAATATCTTGTTTCCCACACATAGACCACAGCTATACAGCAATAGTATCCTTTACCTGGGGGACCGGCTCTAAACACTGATGAGGTAAGTGGAAAATTTCAACGCAATGATGCAGCAATCAGGGAGTTTTGGCAACACACCACCAGATATGGTTGGTTGCAGCGAGGGCACCCAGGTGCTACTGCGAACGCCTGCCCACTTGGTCTTTATGGAGACGACTGTCGCTATAATAAAGCAGGAGAGAAGCTGGTGGTTATCAATTTCAACATGTTACTCCAGGAAGCCAAAAGTTTCTTTCTGCCATTATATGCAAAGCATTTTCAGATTGTCGTGTCTAAGCCGTATGTCTATAGATATTTTTTTCTGAGGGTTTGTTCAATGACCTGGTGAGGTTTGGACTTGTCCCGGTTCCCACTGTTTCTTTTGAGGGTTTCTCGAATGGTGCCAGACTACTCGTTGACACGGGTTTACCAACTCCTGATGTGGAGCTTCAATGTCCCTTGCCTTCATGAGTACATGGGGGTTTCCTAAAATGGGGTTATCAAATCATCTACATATATTAATATTAATATTATAAGCCATCAGTTTTAGGTACGATTATCTATGGAAACCCCCATTTTTTTGGTGGAAAATGACCATATATGGGGAAACCAACTTAATAATATGTTGTTCACACACTAGCAGCAATCGCAGGCACTGGCTAGTGGAGTGCACCCTGATGTGGACTTTGAAGGGAACCCGCTCCCACAAACATATGCCCAGCTGAAAGGCAAGCCAATTGCAGGCCTCCAAGAGTGATACGTTATATTTTTTTTGAGGGGGATTGGTGAAAACCGCTTGAGTTCCCAGTGCCCACATTATGTTTTGGCAAGGATCAACCCACTTGTAGTTTCCACAGTCCTCAGGTGGCCCGGCGTGGCTATGTGAGTTGCGAGGAGATTGGAAGTGGAGCAGAGAAGCCTTTGCTCTATCCACCCACTGGGGTGCCAGGGAAATTTGCCATCTGTGTGCTGCAAAATGTCCAGCCCATCCAAATGTACAACAGCGGATGCTATGACCAAATTCAAGTACATCTTGTTTTCTGATATACTATATATATATATTATATACACAACGACAATGCCAACTATAGCAGGATAGTGACTGAAATGGCTGGGAACCACCAGAATGAACTACATACACCCACCAATGCAGTTTTACTTTTCTTGAGGCCCCCCCTTTCCACTATGACTTCCAGGGTTTATGACTTCCAGGGCTAAAGCAAGTTCACCGATCTGAGGTGGACCAATCTCGACCGGGAATTCCCTAGAAGATCTGCAGTTAATGCCATGGCGTCATGTTTCAAGACCGGTGTTGCCAAAGAAAAGTGTTAAAAGAAAACGCCATGTGTTGAGATTCAATTTTGACACTGCAAGAGTAACAAAAAACAATATCCGGTTCACCCCTTTCCCAACCCTGCAAGGTGGCCACATCCTATTTGCGGATTACCTGGCTTCCAGGTAGCCCAAATTCGATTTTGTTCAATGCATATAGTCAATCTTGGCATACTGCAGAACTTGACGGGCTCTCTTATATCTCTTTTGTTCCAACATGGAATCTTGACCAAAATAAAGACTTCTTTTGAGATCTATAGCTTAACCCAGCCATCCCCAAATAGAGATCTAATTTGCAAACTGGAATTACGTGATGTAAAGTGACAATCAAATATGGTTGGTAGGATTCTCTTTTTGGGGTTTACCACAGGGTTTGTTTTTCCCCACCTGCCACGTGAGGGTTGTTAGATTTTATCACAGTTGTTCTCCTCCTCCTCCTCTTCCTCCTCCTCTTCCTCCTCCCTCTCCTCCTCGTCCTCCAACTTCTCCTTCACCACCTCTGCATCCACTTCCATGTCCACTTCCGCCTTGCCAACTCTTCGCCAACGTCCGCGCGCAGTGGGCACTGCTGGACCTCAACTGTCGGCTTCCGATCGTGGGCACCGCTGGACCTCAACCTGGGACCGTCAGAGCTCAGTGGGCACTGCTGGACCTCAACGGCCAGATAGAATGCCAGAAGATATGCCAGATAAAGTGCCAGAATGTTTGCCAGATAGAACGCCAGAAGATTTGCCAGACAGAATGCCAGATAGAATGTCAGAAGAGATGCCAGAAGATATACCAGATAGAGTGCCAGAAGATATGCCAGATAGAATGCAAAGGGAGTGGCTGTTATCTATGTCATCTTCACCATGATATGTCATGGTGGGGATCACTTGAAGTAAAGTAATTTATTCAAAACAAATGTTGTTTTTCGTCACCGTTGAGGTTTCTTCGGCCAAGGCAACATGGAAAATCATTTGCGAGAGCTGTCATCAAGATTCCGGGCTTGGGCTAGGGTGACCAAAATTGAGAACTCTAGACTTGCTTAGGAAATTGTTCTATTGTTTTCTCAAAACTTGCTGGGTTGTGAAATTTATACAATCCACCGAAAAGGGTATGGTAAGTATATCTTCTGTTGTTGCTATCTAAGGCACTCACAAGGATTCATATCGTCTGGCATGCTGCACATGCAAGATGGTTATCCCCACCTCACAGTGAAAGCATGGAACGGGCAAGTGCTACTGGTCTTTCTGGATCGCTGTCTTACAGCACTGGTGGCAGCAGGGGCACAGGACCAAGAGATTCAGCTAGCACACTTGGCGACACGTGCGATGACATGCTGGTTTGACCGCTTAGCGCGATTTCCTCGTCTGTTGAGTCAGGCACAAGGGAACGAGATCTCAAATTTTGGATTTCGATTTTTGCGCCTCTACAGGCAGTTGGCGATTCTGTCAGTACTTCGGAGTGTGGCGCGATGGCGTTTGTTGCCCAAAGTGCACCCCTTTCGGCACATGAACGAAGATATGCGACATCGGTTGTACAACTATCGTTACTGTCATACCTTTAAAGACGAAGATAATGTTGGCGTCTGCAAGAAGCTTGCAGAACGAGTAGCCAAAGGTGACTTAATGGAATACCGGATCATGACCCGGTTTCTTCTTCGAGTGGGTTCTTGGGTGCCATGAGAAAAGCATATATATATATAATATATATATATAGATATCATGCATTAGATATATATATATTTCATATATTTATATATATTTATATTTATTTATATATATGTATATATTTATAATATATATTTATACAACATATAGATCTCTTATTAAACACCTAGCGGCCACCACTAATGAGCAAGTATGCACCAGAGTTCCTGCCGAGAATCTCCATGGCATCAGTGATCTTCTCCAGCACGTGCCAAAAACGAAAGGCGCTGGGTTTGAGCGAGGCTTTCTGGGGATTGGGCCCAGGATTTTTGTGATATGTGGCTTCAACGCCACTTAAATCCACTTAATAACCTGTAAGTAGCATGGCCAAGCTACTGATGGTTCACATGATGTTGTTCCAGAATACATTTGATGGTTGATTTGCACAACTTGTTGGTCCAAATATGGATGGAATCAAATCATGTGTTGTTTCTTAACATGCCCCATGTATCTATTAATTTCCGTTAAAAATATGGTTCCCGCAAATGTACTTAAAATTCAAGGTCGGGACCTATTATACAGGGCCGGGACCTAAAAAACAAGGTTTCCCGCAAATGTCACCATATAAGTGCAACATTCGATCCTCTGGGAAAAATAAGGCTTATTTTGGCAAAAATCGACCTTATTTCTTGACGGGCAACGATGGCAACCAAAAACTAGTGCGGTTTGTCTTGAAAGGACAAGCGTGTGCGTTTCTGGTTGCCATCGTTGCCCGTCAAAAAATAGGGCTTATTTTTTGTCAAAAATAAGGTTTATTTAATTTGGCAAAAATCGACCTTATTTCTTGACGGGCAGGTGGGTAGCTGCCTGGGCAAAATTTGGCTCACCTTTTTTTCCCCACATCTTTGTGTGGGGTTCTTGTTTTTGGTTCTGTATCCCGCCGCCGCCTCCTCCTCCGCCTCCCGCCCCTCCCGCCCACAACTTGTCCACACACAACTTGCTCACACACAACTTATCCTCACCAAATCGCTCACACACAACTTATCCTCACCAAATCGCTCACACACAACTTGTCCACACACAACTTGTCATCACACAACTTGCTCACACACAACTTGTCCTCACACAAATTGCTCACACACAACTTGCCATCACACAACTTGCTCACACACAACTTGTCCTCACCAAATCGCTCACGCACAACTTGTCCACACAAAACTTGTCCTCACACAACTTGTCCACACACAACTTGTCCACACACAACTTGTCATCACACAACTTGCTCAAACACAACATGCCCTCACCAAATCGCTAACACACAACATGTCCTCACCAAATCGCTCTCACACAACTTGTCCACACACAACTTGTCCACACACAACTTGTCATCACACAACTTGCTCACACACAACTTGTCCTCACCAAATCGCTCACTCACAACTTGCCATCACACAACTTGCTCACACACAACTTGTCCTCACCAAATCGCTCCCACACAACTTGTCTTCACCAAATCGCTCCCACACAACTTGTCATCACACAACTTGCTCACACGCAACTTGTCCTCACACAACTTGCTCACAAACAACTTGCCATCACACAACTTGCTCACACACACAACTTGTCCTCACCAAATCGCTCACACACAGCTTGTCCACACACAACTTGTCCTCACACAACTTGTCCACACACAACTTGTCCACACACAACTTGTCATCACACAACTTGCTCACACACACAACATGTCCTCACCAAATCGCTCACTCAACTTGCCATCACACAACTTGCTTACACACAACTTGTCTTCACCAAATCGCTCCCACACAACTTGTCCTCACCAAATCGCTCCCGCACAACTTGTCCTCACACAACTTGTCCACACACAACTTGTCCACACACAACTTGTCATCACACAACTTGCTCACATACTTGTCCTCACCAAATCGCTCACACACAACTTGTCATCACACAACTTGCTCGCACACAACTTGTCTTCACCAAATCGCTCCCACACAACTTGTCCTCACACCACTTGTCCACACACAACGTGTCCACACACAACTTGTCATCACACAACTTGCTCGCACACAACTTGTCCTCACCAAATCGCTCACACACAACTTGTCCTCACACAACTTGCCCACACACAACTTGTACGTGATTTCCGCGTGGCAGGCGTGGCACTTATGGCACTGGGCTGGCTCTGGTGGCGCGCTTGGTTCCCAGTTGACGCCGTGGACGCCGCCGCTGTTTGCGTGGCAGGCGTGGTACTTGGAGACACGTGCGTGCATGCTGCGTGGCAGGTGCGGCACTTGGCGACATGTACGTGCATTCTGCGTGGCAGGCGTGGCACTTATGGCACTGGGCTGGCTCTGGTGGCGCGGTTGGTTCCCAGTTGACGGCATGGACGCCGCCGCTGTTTGCGTGGCAGGCGTGGTACTTGGAGACACGTGCGTGCATTCTGCGTGGCAGGTGCGGCACTTGGTGGCATGGACCTCCACTTTGCATGGCAAGCGTGGCACTTATGGCACTTGGCTGGCTCTGGTGGCGCGCTTGGTTCCCAGTTGACGCCGTGGACGCCGCCGCTGTTTGCGTGGCAGGCGTGGCACTTGGCGACATGGACAGTCACTTTGCGTGGCAGGTGTGGTACTTGGCGACCATGGACCTCCACTTTGCGTGGCAGGTGTGGCACTTGGTGACATCGACTTCCACTTTGCATGCCAGGCAAGGCGCTTTGTGACATCCACCTTCGCTTCACTTGGCAGGCGTCGCACTTGGAGACATCTACCTTCGTTTTGCGTGGCAGGTGTGGCGCTTGGTGACATCAACCTTCTTCCGCGAACCGTCTGATTCACACACCACTTTGTCACCCACCATCTTTCACACACCACTTTGTCACCCACCATCTTTGACACACCACTTTGTCACACACCATCTTTCACACACCATCTTTGACACACTATCTTTCACACACCATCTTTGTCACACACCATCTTTCACACACCACCTTTCACACACCATCTTTCACGCCCACCTTTGTCACACACACCATCTTTCACACACCACCTTTCACCCACCATCTTTCACACACCACCTTTCCACCCACCATCTTTCACACACCACCTTTCCACCCACCATCTTTCACACAACTTTGTCACACACCATCTTTCACCACACAATCCTTCACACACCATCTCTCGCACACCAGCTTTGACACACCATCTTTGACACAACATCTTTCACACCATCTTTCACACACCGTCACAGACTTTCGCACACCACTTTGTCTCACACCATCTTTCACCACACCATCCTTCACACACCACTTTCTCACACACACACCATCTTTCAACACACCACCTTTCACACACACACACAACTTTGTCACACATCATCTTTCACCACAGCGGCTTTCACACACCACTTCACTTTGTCACCCACCATCTTTCGCCACAACATCTTTCACACACAACTTTGTCACACGCTCTCTTTCACACAACTTTCACACACACCATCTTCCACACACAACTTTGTAGCACACACACAACTTTGTTTTACTTCTCGGTCCTCCACCACCTCCTTTGTCTTTCCTTTCTTCCCCGTCCCCGCTCCAACATTTGGTGCTCATTTTTGGAAGACTTTGCCATGTGGGGTTATCTGGTCCTTTAACTCTGTGCCCCGCAATGTTCCAGCATGGCTTAGACACAGAAAATCATTAGACCAAAACACAACCGAAAGGCAATTGCTGACCAAGTGAGCTGTAAACACAACAATTTCTGAGCACTAAGTTTGATCATTCGACACCACAACAATCTGATTGAAAATGTTCACTTGCTTTGCATATGACACAATTCCAGAAGCCGCTTGTGCAAGCCAACGGCTGCATACAATATCCTTTGGCCATACAATGTGCCATCTGCTTTTCCCTCTTACGCGTCACGTCTTTAGCCCTTGCCACATTTTTTGCCAGAGCTTTGCTACCTGTGTTGCTATTGCTTTTGCCCGCAATGCAAGTTTTCCCTTTCGTTGCCACGTGTGTTGCCAAGGGCTTTTGCTCGCAACCCAAATTTTGCCATTCAATTTGCCGCCTGTGCTTTTTCCCCCGCCACGTATTTGCCAGTGTTTTTTGCCACCGATGTTGCCATTACATTTGCCCCCGTCGGTTTTTTCCATCCATGTTGCCCTGCAGATTGCCACCGCCATTGCCATTGCCATTGCTTTTGCCCTCAAAGTTGCCATCTGCGTTGCCATCAAATTTGGGCGCGTAATAGAGCATTGTTCTTGAATTTTAGATAAATTATATCATTATCCCTGGTAGGATGCCATAATCTTGAACTCAAAAGGCAGGGAATAAATTATACATAGATTTCCCGATTGTTGAACAATTGCGGACGAATGACTAATGAGGAAATAAAAACTAAGTAGTGCGTTTGTCTGAAAATAAAGTGCCCTTACATCCAATGGCATTATCATCATCTTTCTTGTTCAAACGGTATATTTCAAATAGATGGATGATCAAACAATCCCATCCCCGTTCATATTAAACAACCATAAACAACCCGTTTCTATGGTTCCACATATGTGATTTTGATTCATATATCCCCTACATCCACCATGGTTCACCACAACGGGGGGCTGGTGGTCGCCAGGTGCCCACCTGATTGCTGAGCTCAAAATCGCCGTCACCTCCACGGGAGTGGTACTGCAATGCTGGGTTAATTTCTTTGGTATGATATTCGAGGCATACTCAATTCTACAGACGCCCAAATTGGATACCCTTGGCATCAAATGGCTATACATCATATATATTCATATGTCCCATCACCATCTCTAGGTTTGACTTAATCCACCAACAAAAATGAGGAGGTCACAGTTTGGCGCTCAGTCTTCCAATTTTGGCGGTCAGTCAAATGGTTATGGTCGTCAGTTGTTCCACAACCCCACAGGGTCAAGCTCACTGGGGGGGAGGTGTTGATTCTTGGTGAACATATGGGTGTGTCTGAATGTAGAGCATACCAACGTTATTAAATTGTAAG